TAATATTTCATGTAAATTTTCTTTGATTGATTAACTTGTGAATGAAAGCGTATTCGTTGATTTAAATGTAATTGAAACTCACTGATTTCACGTCAATATTTAATGCACAGACCACGTCGCTCTACTGAAACTTGCAGTGTAACTAATAGAGCGAATTTGCTGTATAATGTTATGCTGACGCACTAAACATCTCATCCATCTTGAATCGGAAAACATGAATCGAAGGGGCAGACGAGAGGATCAGATTTGTGTGACAATTTGCTGGTAATTTTGGTATTATCATATTCGGAATTCAGTTATCACTATTACAACAATGTCACATACATTCATGTAAGCATCGTTTAGCATTGATATACTATTCATTCATGCAACGTATCCCTCTGATGTATTCATATTTAAATACAATATATATTTCAAGCGTATATTTTTCGTAAAACATAAGTTGTAATAGCTAAAAAGTTGTAATAGCTTTGAAAAGCTATTACACTAAAATAAAAACGTTTTAAATTAACAAAGGACAAAGAATTCTTAATGTGCGAAACAATTGAAATTATTGTAGGAAGGGCGTATAAGAATCAAATATCAAATTCAATTTACTCCAATTTAATCCAACATATAAAATATACAATAATATTTCGTTTTTCCATTAACATAAACAATGTCAACAAAGAAAGATAGTTTATAAAAATTAATATATAATAAAAAAAGATAATTTTCTCTTTAATTTTCGTAAAGTTAAGAAATTTAATATCTCATATGACTGATATAATATAATAGGAAATAATGATTTTGTAAGAATGATGCGATTTTGCATAGAAACATCTTTCGTATGTTTGCCCCTTCATTCGTAATTTATCGAGAAAGATTTGTCTTTATTTGACAATATACGAAATATATGAAACGGTTCACAAATGTAGTTTGCATCGTGAAACGATCTCGTTTGGCGCTTTCGTAACATGAAGGTGAATGTCTAGTGACAATCGTTAAATCACGGTCGCCGTTTGACTTCTCTTGAAGCAGCGGAATATTTGCAGTTCGGGAACACACACACACACACACACACACACACACAACACATGTTCGAACTTAAGATCTTCTTCCCTGAAGTTCTTCACGAATGTATACGTCGATCTTACCTAGAAATATCTTTCTTAACCCACGTTCCTACCTCACATGGAAGATCGCCCCGTTCCCATATTTGCGAAGAGGGTGGCTTAACCGACAAATGTTTTTCGGACATTGGAAATACATTGAGGGAGTCGGAGTGAGGAACGAGGGTGACGAAGAATTCTTTATGGCGATCAATCATCGCGGATGATATCCACTTTTCCTTCTACCACCATGCCTCGTGAACTGTACGCAATAAGAAACACAAACCAGGCTAGGAGATCGGGAACGAGCGAAGAGGATGGAAAGGTAGCCGCGGGGGTGATCCCGAAATGTTATTCAAATGCGTTAAGTAGAGGGTGTCGAGGAAAATTGGAAACGATTCTGGGAGTATCGAGCACATCCCTGGAGGAAAGCGAGGATCGGATCGAAAAAGGAAATAGTAGGAGAAATGGGGGAGGACAGGTTTTTTGAGGGATGGGCCAACGTCCGAAAAACATTATACATTATTTATGAATTCTCTTCCCACCCATATATTGTTCTAGGAATCGATGTACGTAGATCTCAATTTCTTAAGACAATAGGAATCGCATTTCCTTTTTTAAGCGTTTTCTGAAGCAAATCTGAAGCGATATTGTTGGCTGACATTATCTTCAATTAATTTCGCTAATTAATTTCGATCGCGACGGGGCACCGATCGCAGTTTGTCCGACGTTAACGACGTGACGCGTCATTATTGCTTTACATGCTTGACATGAGAACCAGCAAGCCACGTGGAAGGATTAAAATTACGTGGGATGGAAGGGTACATAGTTTTGATTGCAATTGCTTTTCGCGGAATAAAATGTACGCACATTTACCGAAAAATAACGAAAGCAAGCAAACGTAACACACGAGTGATCAAATATGCAATAATACATGTTAAGAAAAGTGAGGAAATGTCTTAAAAGCATTATAGTTATATAAGTTTTACATAATAGTTTATATCAGAAGAGCAGATAAAGGATATTGTTAAAAATGGTATCTAAGTATGTAGAAAGTTTTGAAAGAGGAGAATGATAATGATATTTTACTTAATAATAAATCCATTGAAAATTAATTTAAGATGCAATTGTTGACAAAACTGAGGTTTTTATAAAAGAAATAATTCTTTTGTATAAATAATATTTTTTATCGTAAACTTGAAAAAAATAAAACATAGAATATGTTTTTGAAAATATCGATGAAAACGTCATGGTTTTTTTTTTACAAGATTTTATGCTAGTTTTCATTTTAACTTTTAAAACGGTGGTATGGTTTTTTATATGGTTTTATCTGGTTTTCATTTTAACTATTTGGTTTGGCTGCGTAGTGAAGTTTCAATATTATTAAACTCATATTTATATATATTACATTCAATATATTTGAACTGCTGCCTTGTGTGTTTCAAATTTTATATAATATAATCAATCAAAATCAAATAACAAAATTTACGACGTAATAACAAATAAATATCAGTAAAAATACAGATAACAATTTAATTGTTTTAAAAGGAAAGTTTACAGAAACAAATCGAAATAGACGGATAAGAGATTGATAATTCATGAGGGAGAAAGATACAAACTTACTATCCTTTAATTCTGTTCATCGAGCTTTAGGATAGGCAATCGTCATATCGAATTGTGATAGAAAAGAGATGCATTTTCCTCGAACGTAATTAAATGCAATCTGTGTTCATTTCGCAAATACATTATGAAGAAGACTCGACTTTGAAAGGTTCGCCCATGAACTATCATCCCTTCGATTTCAACAAATCGATGTCGAAAGATGGACGTGCTCATTTTACGTATGTAGATACTCTATTAGTCGCTGCAGCCATGTGTATCTCAATAGCAGAATGCGCGCGTGTGTGTGTGTGTGTATTTACATGTGTTGTGTGTGTATATATTAAAGTGGACCGCGATGCGGTCCCTCGCGTATCATTGTCAATCGATACGTACTTGTTACCCTTGCCAGATATCAACAATGACATTTTACCCCGCTCCACACATTTTATATCGCGATCGATTTCACGATCCGTTGACCGCGCCAAACAGCTTTGAACAGTTTGAACTCAATTTTGGTGACATCATCGATTTTCAAAATATCGATGTGTGTTTACAAAATATATATAATATTGGTTTTACTGTACGCTCTCCCTACACAATTTTGGCTAATAAACGCTGTAAAAGTAAAAGTATTCCTCTGATAACTTTTATCGGCTATTTCAATATTTAGTGGTATTTACTGATGAATTCGGACATTGATTGGATATTTGCTTTTATTGAGATTGCTATTGGGATATATTCGTTATTGAAAGGAATGATTGATTTCACATATAGTGGCTTACCAAAGTATTCAAACGGTAATACGCCTATATTAAATCGAATAAAATCGTTCGAATACTTTCACGAGGCATTTTGCACCCGGCGTAATCTATGCACATTTTTTTCCTTCTATACCTACATATTCTCATTCATATATACATATCAATATTTTGAGATTTTGAATTCTTTAAAAATGATACCCACCGCAAGGGAGAATCAATAGTGCACCGTAGCTATAACAGCTCAATAAATTCCGAATCCACGGGTAGCACAACACACTTTTTCGCAAACACTCGATGATTTATTGTCTACCGCAGAACGAGAAAGAGAATAGATTATTTATATCCTTTGGAATCCATTGTTTCTTTAAAAAATATTATTTCAAAATATAGTAAAAAAGTAATGTATTGTATTGTATAATAAAATAGTCGTCATAAAATCTGTCGAATATTCTATTAATTAATACAAAGATGAATATAGAAATATAAAGAGAATATAAGAGAATATGAAACGAGATGTTAATATTGAAGCTAACAAATCTTTTCTTGATGCCCTTAAGCCTTAAAACGATGTGATATAACTTTGATATAGTAATTATTTATCAATTTGTACGATTCTCATCGCTGACTGCCGCTTGATAGTGTTCTCGTTAAAAAAATACGCGAAACCAACACTGCGACAGATATCGAATAAGTACTCCAATAATGTAGAAACTTTTTCAAAGAGAAGCGAGTCGATATCGCAGCCGAGCCAGCCGTCGTGTCGGCCGAGCTGACACTCTCTCTCTGCTAGATATTAATAATTTATCTCCGAATATCCTGTAACTAGGCGAAGTTTCTCATGGCTCAACATTTTCCCTGTTTTCTCTTCGTCTATTCTATCGTAGCTCTCTCTCGCTATCGAGAGCTGCAAAAACTTTGTAAAATCAGAACTAACTCTCCCGGTTTTAAAGAGAAATCATGCTTTAAAGAATCTCTCGTTTTTTCGTGCAAATAGCAATGCACGTTCGGCGAAACCTGCTTGCGTTCCGGACGTCGCGTCGTCGCGTCGTCGCATCGTCCAGTTCGAGAACTCGTGAATCCCGGAACGGAGAGTCGCTTTGCCCTCGCGAAAGTTTAATGTACGTCTCTGCGGAGGATCCTCAGCTAGGGATACTCAAGTACTGCACGCGTGTCTTTGCTTTCAAACCGCCCGAATCACTCTCGGGAATATGGGGGCTATCTCTCACCTTGTTGATTTTCGCGTTGATTTCGCAACACGCTCTCTCGCCGCGATGGGATCGGATGGACCAAGCGACAGCAAGTCAGTTAGCGTATAGCGATGGGTTAGAGTGCGCGCACAGCTCGTTATCGGTATCGTTAATCAGTGAGTTAGTTCACAGAGGCATGGCGTTGTAGAGGTCCAGATTGGGATGGTAAAATAGCGGTGTCGGAGTGGGCGGGTTATGATGGGGCGCGGGTTGCGCCTGTATGAGGTTCAAGTTCAAGTTCAGGGGCGCGATGTGGGCCGCATTGTGGTGGTTAAGGTGGTTAAGGCTAAGGTGGTTACCTGTCGGGTAGGGTAATCCGAAACTAGGGTACCCAGAATAGCCGCGGCCCGCCGCGTATGCCGCGTACGCTGCCGCTGGGAAACCTGCGAACACAACAAAAATTTCCGTTACACTCCTCGTTATAACTCACTAGTCCTCTTAGCATTTGGGACAACGTAATCATTCACGATAGTTTTGTAAACGCTGATAAGCATAAAAAAATTCTTAGTCTTTCATACTTCTTGTGACACTATTTCTTGTAACTAAATATTTTTCAGCATGATAACATATACAATAATTTTGTTTTTGATACCATGATACAGATGTAGTTTAAGATTGTTTTTGATTCTTCCATGTCCTCGAGATTTAAACCATTTAAGTTTCAATATTATCTGCTGGATTAAATTTTGAGAAGTTCAAAAACGTATGAAGAAAAGTAAATATGTTTTTATAAAAGATATTTATAAAGATAAAAATTTATTTTTTGCAAAAAAGCAGAAATCAGTAATGAAAAGTCATGCAAAAATATCTATTACTATCAAAAATATCTATTCAATTCAATTTGGCAAATAAAAGTTTAAAAAACTTATCTTATTTTTATAGGAAAATTTATAAAGTTATTAAAGAACTAAAACTATTAAAAAACTTTCTTAATATTTTGCAAATTATATATAGTTCACAAATATGTTTATTAAATCGATAAGAATTCGTTGAAAATATCAAAAACAATAAAACTGATTTACTTTGTTAATTATTAGAGGAAACTAGCTTAAACCAGCAATAAAACTGGCAGGACTAAATTAGCAAAAATTAAATTGGACCTATCGGAATATTTTTAGTACTTTTTTAATACTTTTTATTTTGTACTAGATTATATCATTAATGGCAATTTTGTACTGTGTGCCATTTCGAAAAAAATCGTAGTGTTGCTAGTTTAATATTAAGAGGATTATAAAATCGTCTGTATTTATCGACTAAACCATATAATTTTTGTATAATAATTATTTTTTTCTTCTCTAATTTGATAAACAATAACTATTCTTTGGACTGTCTCCAATTTGGCTCATGTGGTGTTTTTTATTTGAAATGTAGAAAAGGAATGTGCTGAAGGAATCATTGAAAGTTATGATGAATCGTTATTTTTCAGTGAAAATTGAAAAATCTGTACATTCTCATATAAGCTATAAATTGAGTGAATACTAACAATTTTGATCTTTTCTCGTCCTCCTTATCGTGTTCTTAATCTTAAGAGAAAAATTTTATTTTTTATTGAATATAAAATATTTTTTATATAAATTTTATACCAAATAATAGATAAACAAAATAGACGATATTTTTTTATTATTTTTTAAATCAAATTTTATTTTATTTTATTTTCAAACCATATTTAAATTTTTCGTTTTCGACATATGCATTTCGAGAGAACATGAGAAAAGCAATATGATTGAAGAAAGTGTTCAATCACTGTGAGAAAGTAATTATATAAGGATTTACGGATTTTCCAATTTTCATTGGAAAATAACGATTCACCATAACATTTAATGAATAACCAGCACATAATTCCTTTTCTACGTGATTTTACAATCAATTAAAATATTAAATAAAAGACACTACATGATCCAAATTGGAGGCGGAAAAAAAAAGAATAGTATTACTATTAAGTAAAACTGGCACTCGAATTTAAGAAAAAAAATTGTTTAATGCGAATTAAATTAAGTTAGGTTCGTAACCGTATTTTTGTATCACTTTCTTTTTTGTTTGTGCCTTAAGAAGTTTAAATATATAAAGAGTTGAAAAAATGCTAGCACTCCACTTTGAGATATTTTAAATTCGCAAGAGGATTTGAAATTTTTGTGATATTTCGGATTGAAACTAGTACAAACGATTCCGAAACAGCACATGCTTGCAGATTTAAAATATCTTCGGAAATGGCGCAGCTAGCTCTCAATCTATTTTTGAAATATCGGTACAATCATCCCCTTAAGGGGGATCGAAATCGATTGTGGTATAAATGATTACGAAGCAGCATCTGCTTGCGGATTTAAACTAACTTCGAAAATAGCAAAGTTAGATTAAAATTTCCTTATATTAAAATTTCGGTACAATCATCCTCTTAAGGATACGAATGTGTGTGAAACCGATTATACTACAATCGATTACAAACAATTATGAAACAACGCCCGTTTACGGATTTAAAATATCTCAAAATGTTTTAGCATTTCTTCAACCCTTTATACTTTTGAATTTCTTAAGGTACAAATAAAAAGGAAAGTAATACAAATGATTACAAACCTATAATACCTTAAAATCAAATAACAAATTTTGAAAAACATTTTTTTATAAGAACTTAATTTAATGCGCATTAAAAAATTTTTTTTCTTAAATTCAAGCCCCAAGTTCACTTAGGTTACTAAAATTATTAATATAGATTATAAATTAATACTAATAAAGTCATATCAAGGAGAAAAAAATATCAATTTACTTTCAATGGTACCAGTTAATACAAATTCAGTTTTGTTCATTTTTTTTATGATTATTTTTTTATAATCCTATCAGTTTATATTAAGTTAGCAGCACCACTATTTTCTTGGAAATGACACAATATAAAATTGTTCTGGTAGTACAAATTAATGTAAGTCCAATTCTATTGATTTCTGATGTAATTTTTCTCTTTTTCTTTTATTTCGAATTGGTGCTGCCAGCTTAATGTTAAGCTAGCAGCATCACATTTTTTTTTTCGAATTTGCACGCAGTACAAAATTGTCATTAATGATATAATTTAGTGTAAAATAAATATTAAATTCCGATAGATCCGATTTGATTTTGCTGATTAGGTCCTGTCACTACATAAAGCTAGATAAACTTATTGAGTTATATCTGTCAAAATTATTGCCACATCTATATTCTGCTAATTAGATTAAATTTCCATTAATATAAAAGCTAATGAGAGGTTAATAGTACTCCGCTAAATTCTAATATTTACATACGATTCATGTCAGTCAACTGAAAGATATGCTATAGGTAAAATGTATGTTAAAGCAAATAGGTGAAATGGACAATTATGTATCAAGGCTGGGAAGCCATATAGCGTCATTATTTCTTTAGTTATGTCTATAATAGGGATCGTCAGAGTAGGTATCGAGTTCTTTACTAGTCAATACATATTTCACATACTCACCATCAGGTAATGCTCCCAGAGACCACATAAAATCTATAAGGAAAAACAAACTCGATTAAAATGTAATTTCGACATAAACTAATATATATTTCTGAATATTTGTTTACTTATTTTTATCAATTCTTTTTTCCTTTCGATTTTTTCCCCTTTATTTATATTGCATGTTCGTTAGTGCAACGATTTCAAGTCTCCATCAAAATTTCTGCAACTACATACGAAGAAAGATATTGATCGCTCGAAAAACTTACAAAATAAGCTACGTGTCAGAAGTAAAGTTTCCACATGTCAATTATTTCCGCGAAGTTTTATATGTCGCAAGACCAATATTTTTCTTCGAGCAGGCGAAGGTAGGCGTAAACATTTAAGATATGTACACGGAGATAAGTTAAGTATGAAGCGAAGCGTTGCAGAAATTCGTCGGGATTTAAGTGTAACGGATGACTAGGTCCAAACGATAAAAGAGAACGTAAAAAGAGAAAAAAAAGATAAGAAATAGGATTAAAAGCTTTCTAGGTTAAATAGAGTGTATGAGAAAATTAGTGAAAGAGAGAAAGAGAGTAAGAGAGAGAGAGAGAGAGAGAGAGAGAGAGAGAAAAGGAAAGAGAGAAAGAATGAGAGAAGAACAGAATGATAGAGAGATCAAGGCATCCATGAAATTTCATAATTCGATACTAATCCAAAAGACCACACAACTAAGATTCTCACTATGTATATATATATGTATATCGCATCGACTATATAGCGCATTTTCTAAACTGTGTGATAAGGTACTAGGTAACTACGCGCGGCCGAGGTGTTTCCAATTCTACGACAAAATAAACCCTCCTATAAACTATGGTTATTGTAGCCTTCAAAGGTATTGGTTAATTATTTACCGTTAAGTAATATTTGCTAGGCTCTCTATATAGCTTATTAGATATCGACTAAGGGTCGGTAATATGCCACCACTTGAACGTCTTCCGCAAATGATAAATTTGCGGAATGATTGAATACGCACGTAATAACGTGCTACTACTTTTATATTTCTATTTCATGTCGTGTGCGTGGCATAGCACCGGCACCACTACTCACATTTATATTGACGATACAATATTGAAAAAAAACACTGACCACAATAATACTACACTACTAGACTCACTATGCTAGTATCCATATCGACGTTGCTCTCACAATATTACGCAGATGGAAAAAAGTATAAGAGCATTTATTCTAGCCATTAAAATACACTGATACATATTAATAGTATTAGTAATTTCGTACCTAAAGTCTCTCTACCGGGCTGGTTTTGATTACGTCAAGCGCTCAATGGTATTTTACTATCATTTTGCGCTCTTTTTCTCTGTCTTAATGGCTTTCTAAACTCTTCTGAGCTACAATAAGATTTGCATGTACGTCGAGCACTATCTCGCATTTATCTCAATAGAATCATTTGCAGCATTACATAGCTATGTATCTTTGTCACACTTCATCGAAATACGTGAATAGATCTCGACGATACTGTATAAATAATTCTTGCGCGAATTACGCGCGTGCTTTTCTATATAGCATCTACGTATACACCCTTAACTTTCTTAGATGCAACATATCGATCTCACGTAGAGCAGACGTTTACGTACGATGTATTAATATTAACAGTCTCTCGCAGTTCCGAGGAGCGCATAAAGCCTGTCTCAGCTCGAGTTTACGATCGAGTTGCCGGTCGATTAACGTTTACGTCACATCGATGGCTTCGGCAACGTGGAATTCATTGAGCTACTCTCACTAGAATTTTATGTTTCCCCTTTGATGTGCATGTCCCGTCTCGGACGAGGAGAAACATTCGCGAGGCCGTGTATCAGGAATGCATTCCGTCGAATCGTTCTGCACCCCCGTTATAAATTATGTAAGACATCAGCGGATACTCTATATTCCCGTAAAACCCAAAATCAAGTAGCCCAGCCAAGTGTCACAAAGACCAACAATAAAACCGCACCATCAAAGTCTGGTCTACTTACGAAACTGACAGTGTTGCGCCTCTCTGGCTAAGTACGTACTTTCTAGGACACACGTCTCACGCATTATTATCAAGGTAAATGATGCTATGCGGCTTAAGAAGAGTTAAGTAGTATATGAATGGGATATACGGGAGCTGAGGCATTAGGTATAGATAGGTATACGCACGATATATATTTAGTATATATCCTATATATATATATATATAGAGAGAGAGAGAGAGGTATAATATTACGTGTAACGTAATATAAATGTAACTATGTAACGTAGCTCGTTAAGTAATAGGTACAATATAATAGGTCTCTTTGAAGCCGCTGGTAATGCGTATTCTTCGCGGAAGACGTTTAAGCACCGCGCTTTATCTCGCTTCTCTCGCGAATTATTTTGCGGAAGGAAACATGAGTGGAAATGTTACGACGGAGGCCAAATGCCTTCCCTGTGAACAATTCTTCGTCGACGAACGGACGCGAGTGCACAATCTTCCGCGAAGATGATCGCCTAAAGTATAATCTAAGCTAACGATATCATAGTGACTTCCCAAAAGCTATAGTCCACTAGTAGTCTCAACGATAGGAACGTGTACATAGTATATTAATTCGTTTAAAACTGATTCGCTCTAACTAATCGAACCTAGAACGCCTAGTCTCAATAATGTCTAAGGTCTGATAACAACACAAATGTTTACCTAATTACCTAGATATGTAGAGATAGATAGATAGATCCGATATGTATATCTGTTTGGTTTCTATTACAAAAAACTATAAGGTGTAATGCGGCTCTCACAAAATATATCGATATTAATATCAAATGCTATGGCGTTACCAAATAGGTAAGATACAAAAACAATATATAACGTATATATCGTCTGGCGTAATCTATAATGGATCGTTAGGTACATATTAATATGGAGTGTCCGAAAACCACTAATACATATATTATTTGATATTTATATTTTTTTTACAACTTGATTGTGAGGCTGCTGTTTGTCCTACGATATTTACTGTTGTAAAAATTTAAATTCCAATGTAAAATGATAAGCTCCGAATAATAATTTTCTACTCATACTTAAAACTTACACGTTTTCTATTTTTAGAATCTCTTTTTTTCTCTGATTTGATTCTTAATATCAATGAGACATTAGTTAGTTTCGGGACATCCCATATAAGAATAGAATATAAATACATTATACGTATATATATATATATGTATATGTATATAGATTCACGTATGCATTTATATACATATAAATAGTGTCGAGCTCGTGTCTTTCCTTTTGAGTGTCTTTATATCGTTTAGAACACAGAGTTCTTTCTTGCTTCGACATTATGAAATTTCATGAAGTCACTTGCGAAAAATATTCCGGAAAACGCGACAAATGAGAAGTGCACGTGTCGCCAACCATTTCCTGCGGGCTCCCGTTCGCGCTAACCGCTCTCTCGCCGCATCGCATCGCCGACAATTTGCGTCGGTATGCGCCGTTATAATTGATTTCCTTCAATTATCGCTCGCGTGTTCGCGAGGAGTACACGCAGCGGACCATTATCTGGGAGAAGGAGGAGAAAGGTTTGTTTTTCTCTTGTATATCATTTCAATTTTTTTTTTGTTAAAATATTCGTAATTAAAAACGGCCTCGACAAAGAGCGCGTTTATTGTTTAAACAAATTATTTCATTTCGAAAAAATATCCTGCCGTTTTTAAAGACGTTCGAAAATACGCCACGAAACGCGACTATTTTTCCATATCCTCTATCGCGACTTTCAATTATATTACCCGATCTTGTCGCGTAACCTCGCAGACGACAATTTCTACGTTAGAGCTTTGTTCGCAACGCGCTAAAATTTCAACTAGGTTCTATCAACGAATTGACAGCCGCCGAACGACGAACATACAATCTCCATCGAGGACTTGTCGTTTTGTTTCCCCATCGGGGTGACCTGAAAATTGCTGCTCACCTTGTCTTTCGATTTCCTGTTCTCTCATTCCTCCTTCGTTGAAGGCTCGATGTCGGTGTTAATTTCTACGGCGTTTTAATCGAAGTGCTTTTAACGGCAAGTGTGATGGACACCAAAAATTTAATTATTCGACGTCGGTAGATGATTGAGATTTAGTTAGACACGACTTGTATAGGTACTATTTATTCTGCCTATCTTCATTAGTATGTAAAAGAAGATATTTTTATATAATTACATTCATTTTCAAAAAATGGATGCTTTAATAATAATTATACTGATCTGACAATGTAAGACAACTTTAATTATTATTAACTTCTCAATTCTCAATACATCTCCGATTTTTTAATTTCAAAATATTATAGAAATGATTATGTAACTCATAAAAAAATATATTTTAAGAAAAAACGTCAAAATAAACTGTCTTTCTTTTGAAAAATCGAAGAAACACAAAAATTTTATTTTTAAATTTAATAATGTTTTATTGAAAAGCAAAAACTTTGTAAGATTTCTGCTTTATGTTTTATTGAACAAATTGTAAATTTATAAATCGAAAGATAATCTTATTATTTTTAAGATCACAAGATCCATATAAATTTTAAAGTTAAATTTTTTAAAATTTAATAACGTTTCGTTGAGAAGCAAAACATTTTTTAAGACTTATTCTATATTTCATTAATTATACATAGTAAATTAAAAAATCGAAAGACAATCCTATAAGGAGATACGTTCGACGCGACGGCGATTATTTGAGCATCGTTAGGTCGTTTTCCCTCTACATTTGAACACTTTGTTTATTGTCCTACTATCTGCATTACTAATTATCTACGAAATAACTACCAGTCTTTTGCGATCCGTTTGTCTCGTTGCTACATGTCTACTTTCACTACGAGAAAATGAGGCCCCATAGGTAACTACTACATCGATTAAATCTGCAATTCTACGCGTTTTCTTCTGCTTCTACGATCACAGTTTCGCCGAACATTGCCAACCGCGAACAGCTCCGCGGAAATATCGCGTTCTCGATATGTATTTCGAATCGATAAATAAGAACGGTTTTCCTAAATCTACAATATTGCACTTTTTGAAATTGATACCTATCACGCTCGATCGTTTGATCACTGATTGGCATATATTAATTAATACTTTCGATTTCTTTCGTTGACTACTTCAAAACGACGAACAATCTCTCAATTGAGGAATGTATAAAGTGCTGTTTAATTCACAGTAATATTTCATTAAAAAATTACGCATTTATTACGAGAGACTAATCTTTTTCTCAGCAAGGTTCCTAAAATCTTACAATCGATAATGAATAAAAAGTACATTGACTTCTTCATATATTTCTTTTATATGAGCGTACTTAATTCATTGAATTTCAAACTTTATAATTCATGCAATCTAAATGTGATCTATCCGAAACAACAAGTTTTTTGGCATATATCAAAATATTATTTTTAAGCAAAACTGAGAAAAACTATTACGTTTGCGATTAAAAATTGTATTATTACATTGTCCTTCGGGACAAACAAATTGTAAAACTCACGACGGCGTAATGCTACAACGAAATCGAAAAATCGCGACAAGCAATATAGAAAAGAAGGATGACTGATCGATTAATTAATATATTAAACGAAACAACAATCGGACGTAAGTGTGACACCCCCGGATGAGCTACAATTATTGAGGCCGCGAAAGGGGTGTGAGTATCGTTGGTCATAGGCCGATCGTAGGTATCGGATGATAAACGGCGCCCATGTCGAGGCCCTGAACACCGAGGAGGTCGCTCATGGAATAGGTGAGGGCAGCGGCACGGGACGCGGCCGCGACCGGATGTGGCCGGTAAGAGGC